TTCCTTCCTTCCTTCCTTCCTTCCTTCCTTCCTTCCTTCCTTCCTTCCTTCCTTCCTTCCTTCCTCTGATGTTGATTTACCTGTTTCTAGATTTATATAAGCTAAGGTACAGAGGTCTTTTTTCCCCTGATGCTAATATTATAATGTAATTAGTAATATATAGTAATTATAGTGACCAAATGTGGGTCACTACTGTGTAATTTCATGCAACAGCGTAGGCACCAAAATCAAAATCTTTGTTAGGGTCATTGATCAGCCTTTTACACCAATGCTAACCCTGACCCTAAGATAAATACCATCAATACTGAAATCTATATACAAATTACAACATGCAATATAAATAATATTAAGACTTTATGTAATATAATATGGTATAATAATAGACAATCTGTAAAAATGCCTATATATTGGATTAAGAGTAGTACAGGGGGTAGTAAAGGAGAGTAAAGTTGTACCCTGTGATAAAATAAAGTTTTAAGATAAAATATCACAATACAAACTAAAAGGGAAACTAAGCTGAAGATTATAACTACGGATACAAATGTTTGGATGTGACCTTTATCTGACCTAATTAACAAAACAAATCACATTTTATTTACAGTACAACCAAAACAAGTTATGAAATAGCAGTGTAATAATGATAATTATAATAACAGTAATAAAAAGTGACTTGAATCATGATGTTACATTAAACTTATATACCCCTAACTAGTCTGCCACTGAACTAGTCGCTCACAAGTTCTGCATGCTAACAATTTTAGCCACAGAGTTTGATATTTTAGGGCTTTTTCTAATAAAAGATATTGAACCTACAATGCAGCAGGATGTCCAAAATGTTATAAATATACAGTATACTTGCTTTATATGTATGGAATATTAAGTGGCTAAAATCTCACAGGACCATCAAACCTCACAACATTTCAGTTATCTTGCTCCCAAGATCTCTCACGATTTCACCTCGGGACATTAAAAGCCCTCATAATTTTGTGCAAGGACACCAACTTCTCATGAGGTTTCAGCATTGTTTTCTGAACTCTCCTGAATTAACTCACCCAAAAATCTCATGAAAGAGCCCTCAGAAACTTTCAAGTTGGAATGCACACTACAGCATTTAATTGTTGCAAGTGAAGTGTTCTCTCTGCTGAAAAATCCTGAGTGACCATGGAAGGGGTTGGACATTACCTTCAACGTGGACCAACCATAAAACAGCTGCAGCCAATGTTTTCACTTGGGATGCTTTTGGAGGGGGAGGAGCAGCTTTGAGAGAAGGAATATCCTAACATCTCTTTCCCACGTTCATCCAAACCAGGGTCAGTGTAGCTAACACATTTGTTGAAGACGCTAGGAAGGATCCACCTTAGCTTCCTTTGGCAAGTATAACAGTACTCAACCTCATTTGTAGCTAACGGCGCTGGAAATAAGGCTCCAAGATCACATGGTCCTTACCTGTGGGCAATCCTTGATGTAGTGTCCCTTGTTAAAGCAAAGATGACACAGATAGTTTGGGGGAGGTCTCTTGCTTGGCTTTCTGGCGTCTGATGAAAGGGAAATGTCAGAGAAATGTTCAGTGAGGGAATTCAAGCCATCCACGATGTTATTAAGAGAGCCGTAGGGAGAGGCGCTCTTATACAGACTATTGCTCAAAGCCTGCAAAAGAGAAAGAAGAATCTGGTAATTTTTCCCCCCCAGTGAGCTCTTCTGATTTATACTCTATTCAACAAAATTCACATTTGAAATTGCGTCAGTTACAATCATATGTAGATCAATAAATCAATAGATCGATGGATAGACCGAAAAGTAATAGATGGATGAGTAGGGAGATAACCACTGATAAATTAGATTAAGATAGATAGTCAACAGATGTAAATTTTCTAAAATTCAATTCATGCAATTTATTTATCTGACTCACTACAAAAGTCAAAGGGAATAAATAAAGGTTGGGGCCCAGCCCCTAACAAATCTCCTGTGGGTTTTAAGCAACCAAGCTGAGTTCAAGGCTCTCCTTGCTCATCTCTTACTTGTAAACGAGGCTCTATTTTAATGAAATAAATAGCTGCATCAAACAATCGCTGGAGGTCCCACTGAACCAGGAGTTCATTTTTCACCACCATGATAGGTGTGTTACAATATTCCCTTTGGCTAGGGGGGAACTGCTGTTATTTTTGAGCTCACAACAGCCCATGTAAATTGCACCCAGATCCAATTTCAGACCTCTCCCTGTGGTCCATTTAAAAAGACCATTTGAGGCCAACAGACTGTTTCTTCAACAAACAGAGGCAACATTTCTTTGGCTGAAATAATCAAGATCAGCCTTCCTCTTCCGATGTATTGGACTGCTGGCTGAGGATTATGGGCACTGAAGTTCACCACACATCTGGAAGTCCCCAGAAGTCCCCAGGAGGAAGAATGAATTACTCTATTCAGAAAATGCAAAAGCAACAGTATTCAGATACAAAGAGCTATTATTTGACGCTCTTGCTTTCAACAATCCTTGTGTGGTTAGAAGTTTGATGAGAACCATTTTTAAAAAATTGCACACATACCCACACACACACACACACACACACCTCACACATAAGCCAGGACATTCTTGGCACCCAAAGCTATTGAAAAAAGGACATTTTAAAAGTCAGAAAAGGTCAAACATGTAGAATAAGTAATTGCTCATTTGTGAATAGTTGAAAAGGCCTTAAACACGGTGTTCAGAATTTTACAATAAAGAAACAATAAGGAAAACTTAGATCCACATCTAACTGTTTGTTTTTTCCTGCAGAAAACCTGCGGTCATTTAACTATTCCTTGCTAATTGCCCCCTTGCTGTTTTTCCTTCTCTTGAGATGCCTGCTTATGTTAGTGTAAGTTCAAACCCAGAAAAAAATGGACCCTGTCACTCCAAAACTTTAAACCAGCAGGTAACCTATAATCACTGGGATGGAATTAGTTCATCATCACAGCAGTGGCAAACATTCACTTCTTCAAATGGTGACTATACATATCTATGAATTGTCTGTGATGTGAAGCACATGAAGATCTTCAGAACGGGATCTGAAGGTAAAGAATGGTTTAAAAACTATTCCTGGATAACCTATGTATTCTATTTGTTGCAAGAATAATTGGTAAACTTTATCATTTAACAGCAGATGGGGGCAGAGACAGGATGCCTCCTCCTTCCAATTATTCTGGCTTGATGTTCTCTCTCACACAGCATATCTTCTCTGGCAAATCTCCAGATAATACCTAACTTTCAGCAATACTTTTTGAAAACCTTGCTTTTGCTCTTTTTCAGCAGCAGTGGCAAATAGTTTTACTTATCTAAGGATCCACATCCATAATTAGCACAATCCTTCAGGCGGGATTCTATCAAGGATGTTTTATCAAATATTTCCCTGGGACTAGCATACAAATCATATACAAAGACTCACAACACACAATACTCCTTTCTAATTGCAAAGCTCTAGCAAATAACAACTTTGCCTATGTGAATATCTTTATCCACTTCTCTTGACTAGGTAGCAAGGCCAAACATGAAAATGCACCTCCTTACAAATGCATTTAAATTCTGACTAAACTGAGAAATGAAAATCCTGGGAATTGTAAAATGGCATGACTTACTAAATAACTTCTGAGTTGTTAGTAGCACCATGAAAATACATTTAACTTCTAACTTTGACCTCTGATTCGCTTAAATGAAAGCCACCCAAAATGAAAGATAAAATTGGGCTAGTTTTTCAGAACAGCAAGATCACTTTCCCAACACTATTCTTGACAACCAAGTTTGGTCAGATGATGACAAAGAATACTGGTCTTTTCAAATAAAACTGCCTGTTTCATTCTTGTAGAAACTGATGTTTAACCTCATCAATTAAGCAATCAGTGTACTATGAAGAAAACCCAAAGTAAGTTTTGAAATGTTGTTCTGAATAAGCTCCAGGTCCATACCACAGAGATGAGGTAAATGGAGATGATGGAAGCTGGCTGGGTGACTTGGGGCCAGTCCCTCTCTCTCAGCCCAACTCACCTCACAGGGTTATTGTTGTGGGGAAAGGAGGAAGGAGTATTACTGTTCACCGCCTTGAGTTATTTATCAAAATAATAAAAGCGGGATTAAAAAAAATCTTTAAAAATCTAAACAGAGAGTCTCCTTCAAGTTGAGCATCATTCCTAATAAATTCATGGATATGCCCTTGTAGCTTCCTGGACAGCAGCATGGACCTGTTTGCCATTGCCTTCTTCCAAGATGGCTTTTGGACTTCCCAGCTACAGACCTGGGAGCTCCTGCTGTAGGCTAGGCTGGGTGTCAAAAAAAAAAAAATCCCAAAGAAGGTGATAGCAAACAGCATATATACCATTGCAAAGAAAATGAC